TTCCTTGGATGCCATCACTGAACCCGCATCTATACCAAAAAGCCTCGACTAACAAGATACCCAATCCAATAAAAGAGGAGACGGAAACAATACAATTGTCACGCCTTTCTCAACATGCAGCTATCCGCCTCCCTTCCACCAATACCATTGCCCGCACCCTTCTCTCTATTCAACGTATCAGGGAGAAAAAAAAACACCCCAAAAAAAAAAAAACCAAACAAGCAAGCGCCACTCATCCATCCCCATGTCAACCCATCACCCACCCCTCCCAGGCTCCCACACACACACACTCACACACACACGCTGCTGGCGACTCCCGTAGCGTCAGTTACACATAGATCCTTTCTCTCCGAAAAAGTCAACTTACCAGGCAACCTAGCTAGCTCTTCCCCCGACCCCCCGCCCATCACACGCTAGCTGACCAACACTAACACGAATGGAAAAAAGCACTACCAACACAATGGAACCAACAGCATACCTTTACAGCATAAAGATCCTAACCAAAGACCCAAACCCAACCCTTGTCTTTATATCATCCTTGCCCTGCTCGGCCACATGCATGTAAGAAGCACCTACCTAGTTGCAGGGCCTCTGATGAAAGGGCGGCTCAAAACAAACTAAGCTTGCAACAGAATGGCGTTACCACCGCCATTCACGTACATTTCGCCATCTGCGTCATCAGACATTCAACATCGATACCCTTGTCCAAGATGCTAATTCTGCAACAATTAATTTTTGGCTTTCAGCCTCAGACTCACTTCACACTGTGTTCGTCCGCTTTTGACTACCTGGTTCATGAGGGTGGGTGGATTACAGTCATACCAAAGTTAGCTGAGATCGAGTAAGCAGAAAGCATGTACCTCAAGGATCCTGTGAAAACACGTATTTGCTCGAGAATCTTTTACATTTCCTTTTCCGCAACTACCAGAAAAGCAAAGTCAACTATCAAACGCATTCTGTCGACGCCCTGAACGTCCGTGTATATATAGGTATCTCGGCCACTCCAAAGGTCCGTCCTTGCCAATCCTGTGCATTCGCCCTCTACCGAGAAAAATGTCCCCGTTTTCCGAAAAATCCTTATCGCCGTCCGAGAAGAGCATCTCCCTCGAGGGACCCAAGTCTGAAAAGGAAAAAGGTATCGTCTGCAAAGGATGGGATCATGGCCCAGGCATGCATGCTGGTCCTCCCTTTCCCAATCATCACTCGTCTCCATGGCATCACAGGTGATCTGCCCACCCCCGCCCTTTTTGGCGGGGGCTAGACAACTCCGCAACCAATGTCGAGCTCGTGACGTCGTTGAGATCGAAGCCGGCTCGTCGCACATGCCAAGAAAGCCTCTTCCAAATGAGGCCATAAATGGCCAACCAAAGCGAACCTCCACCCGTTTCGTCAAATCATGACCTTCCTCAACCGTCCTCGTAAATGCAGAAACCACACCGGTCCAAGGAAAAGCCGTTGCCCAATGCATCATCTTATGTAGAGAAAAGAAAACCGAAAAAGAAGCATCAGCATCGCAACGCGGTGTGAATGATCAAGCCTCAGACGGGTGTGCCTAAGGCGCCAGTGAAAATGGTGAAAGTAACGCAGCGAAACCATGCTGTGCGTATACTCGATCGAACCGTGAAAATCCCGAAGCCGTGGAAAGGCGGATATCGCTTCGTAAACCAGAATTTTGCCGCGCGTCTAGTAACCGAAGGAAACGAAGTTGAAATTTCGTAGTATGGACATTTGCGGTTGTGGCGGCTGTCGTCGTGCGAAAGGGAACCCGATAATGTACAAGTTCATCCCCCCTTCCATCATTACGGTTGGGTCCTTTTCGATCACAGATCAGCCGTCCTCAGTGGCTAGACGCCTGAGCACCGTTATCTGCCTATACAGTTAGCTCGCCGAGGTCGATTGGTCAGGGCGATTGGTACTCACGTGAGTTGTACATGCTCTGGTTCGGCTGGCCGTACGGGGACTGAGGCTGATAGTTGCCCGAATACATGTGGGAGCCGTTGTACTCGGGGAGAGGCTGCTGCGCAACACCCCCAGCAGACGGGGGCGCCGGGTACTGTGAAGGCTGATATCCAATGGGTGGCAATTGAACCTGGCGACCAGTTGCGTACGCAGATGCCGATGACGAGCCATCAGGTGCGGATTGAGGATCAGCAGAACCGTTCTGGGCAGCGGCCTGCGCAGCGGCCGCAGCTTGACGCTGGCGTTCGTCCTCAGCTTTGCGAGCCGCTTCCTCCTCCTTCTTGCGTTGCTTCCATTCCTTGCGGATCTCCTTGAACTCTGTGACTCTTGTTGTCAGCCTCCGAGCATTGCGCAATATTTTCTTGGCTTGTTCCTTCCAATGACTTGGTAGACTTTGTCATGACTAGGCCATCGGTGGGTAGGGTCAAGCAAGCTAAAAAATCACGGTCCGCTAGACTTCCGGATGTACAACGCTAGCCCCGAGTGCCGCTTGGCGCTCGGCACGCGACCCAGAATTTTGGCAGACGAGCCGCAACCAGCGACATCGCAACATCGCGATTTTGCAACATTGTTAAACGTACCTTCGGGTGTTCGCTTCTGTCCGTGGGACTGCATTGTGACGTGTGCGTTGAGGTGGTTCAGTGTGCCGTAAGCTTTCTCGCAACCGTTCCAGCCACACTTGTACATGCGCTCGATTTCTTCATATCGTCGACGGGGTCGTTTGTGCTGCTGGGCACCGGGAATCGGAACGAAAGAGTAAACCTGGTTGCCAAACTGTTACGTCAGTACACTGGTTACTTGAATGGACGATAGTATGCGCGTGTGCCAGCCTCCGACCCTGCGTCGACGGCCGTGCTGCCAAATTGGTTATGGAGGCCCAATCCTTGGAAGTTCGCATCACAGATCCCGCAACGCAGAGCTCTTCTCGGATGAGTTGCCGTGACGAGAGCCCCTTCAGCTACACAAACCTTCCCTGACGCGCTGGCACACCTCGAAATCATCGCCTGCTAGCTTCACTTACCTGGCTGGGTCGTCCCTGGGGAGGGGCAGAGCTCGGTGTCGGAGGGAAGACGTGACTGGCGGGAGTCAGGGGACCGGCGCTGTGTTGGCCGTAGCCGGTCCAATCGGGACGGGGTTGGTAGGGATGCTGGTAGGAGTGCGACATGTCTCCCGGGGGAGGACCGTAGGGAGAGTGTTGTCCGTACGCGTAGGTAGGACTCGGCGCCGCTATCGACGGATCTATGGGTACATCGTGGTCAGACTTGGCCAGAGGGACCTGATGGTTACGGCCATCTTGCTGGGGCAAAGACGGACTGCTTGCTTGTTGCGCCATGCCTCCGCTGCCACCGTTATGGTTGCTAGCAGGATGGTATGATCGCTGAATGTGCTCAGGGAAAGATCCTGACCGCGCAGAAGGCGGGTAGACGCTGTACTCGGAGGTGGGCGTCGCTGAGGTAGAGTAGTTGCTGGGGCGAACCTCTTGTTGGGTCGCGTATTGCGCAGCAGATGCGTGATCTGCAGATGAACCTTCAGAACGGGTGTCGCCGCAGTTGCTTGGGTAAGGCGAAGGCAAACCTGACTGCGAGTACTCGGTAGCACTGCGTTCCATAGAGGTGCTGAGCGAGGTCAGGAGCGAGCTGATGGCAGCGGCTTCTGGGCGGGAACCTCCAAGCTGTGGCGAGCCTGAAGAGAGCAGTGATGCGTGATTGTCAACGAACTGGTGTTGCGTTGGGACCAAGAACATGCTACAATTCAGAGGAACGTCTTGGGTCGCAAAGAATGGCCGGAGAGTCCTTAGTTCTCAAGCCAGCGGGTGGGTTCGCAGGTTCGTGGTAGGCCGTTCCTTTTCTTTTCTTCCGGATGCAAGAGCGGTTGATGGGATGGCTCAAGAAGCGGTCTTTCAAGTGGCGGTAGCGGGTTGGGCTTGTACTTGAAGAATGAAAAGAAGGATAATGGAAGAAGTAGTAGTTGTAGTAGTAATAGTAGGAGGAGGAAGAGGCGACTGATGGCAGGAGTAAAGTGAGACTTGAGGCGGCGCGACGATGGTGTATAAAGACGGCGGCCAAGATAGCGTGGGCCACCCAAGGGCTCGGGATTATGGTTAAATGGGGATGTGATGACAACAAAGTCGCTAGCCACGGCCCTGAGCGAGGATCTCTCAAAGTGGCAAGGATAGCGTTGTCTTTGCCAGATCACGGAAAGGACGCCTCTTTTTTTTTTCTTTCCTCTGGCTCTTACTCGCTTTGGCTGAGGAGAGGTTGATGGTATTGCCTGGGGAGAGCGACACTAAAATAGTGCGCTAGAGAAGTAATGGATGGGCTGGGCTCTCCGCTTGAGTTCAGGCCGAGCGAGTCCTTAGCGTCTGGATCGGAGATAGAGCAGGGGGGGCAGGCCCACGAGCTGGGTGTGTGTATGGAACCTGGACCAAAGGCGGCGAACAGTGCCGTAGGCGTAGGAGAGGGTAGGTACTCCGTACACCGAGGAGAGGGAGGCCAAAGGTTGGGTGGGGTTGGCGAGGAGGATGGGATGTCGAAGGGTTCCTCTTTGCGTATAGCGTAGGGTGTGCCTCTTCTTTGATCGGGGTTGGCGTGTTTCTGAATTTGGCCTGGTGTAGAGGCCGGGACCTGACTTGACGAGATGGCAGATGGGAGTGCTGAGAAAGCGACTGACTCTTGTCTGATCTGGCTTGCGGGATGCAGGAGACAGCGGGATGCAGGTGCTGCAACGCAGAAGAAGCGACTGAGCGCACTGCAGTACGGAGGGTGGTGATGAGTCGGGTGATGCGTTGGTGCAACACACTCACACGCAGCAGCAGCGAGATGGTCCGGCCAGCACAGCTCTGGGCAGGCTGGTAAAGGCAATGTCGGGTGAGAGGTGTAGCTGGGTGGTGAGGTGGGTGCTGATGCGCGATGCTCGTGCGGTAGGGGGCGTGGTTGACCTTGGCCTTGGTACGGAAAGGCAAGGTGGATTGGGTGGGCAGGAGTGGCAGGGTGGGCACGAGTGGTGGCGGAGGGTGGATTCTTCTTTCTTGCTCTTTCCGACTATACTCGACTTGACGACGTCGAGGTGCGGTACGTGCTGCTGCCGCTGCCGCTGCCGAATGCTGGAAGCAAAGAGCGTGAGTGCGTGCGCCTTGAGTAGCGTGGGTTTTCCCGTGGTGCTAGAGGAAGAGAGTAGTGCGCGGGTGGAGTGTGTGGTGGTGAGATGAAAGAGAACGAGATGCAGATGGGGTAGAGGTTTTTCTTGTGAGTGTTGTCGAGTCTCTGCTGGCGCGTCTGTCTTTCTTTCTCTTCTTCTTTCTCCTCCTCGCTCAGCTCGGTGAAGCACCACTGTGTGGGAAGTGCGAAGGGGGAAGGCGAAGCTAAGGAAGGGGGTAAGGGGGTAAACCCAATGAAGGTTTATGACGAGGGGGAGTTCGATCTTAGCGCCGTTCCCGGGAGAAAGACGAATTTAATACTTGCGACGGAAGAGGGAAAGGAAGAATGGGGTAAGCTTGAGGAAATAATGGACCGCCTGAGTGACGGGTCAGCGCGAGGGCTGATTTGCAGCAGGTGGAGACGCGACGACGGGCCTGCGGCGGGCAAGGATACATTGGAGAGTGGAAGGATGAAGGGTGAAGGGTGAAGGGTGAAGGGTGATGGGTGATGTGGAAGGGTGAAAACCCTGGAGGCAAGTCGTAGTGTCTCTCCAAGGACCAAGCTTGCCTTGCCTTGCCCAATTGGCAATGCTTACTTACCATGACCACCCAGGGGCAGAGGAGCTAGGTGTCTGTCTATGAGCAGCAATTGGGATAGTAATTGCAAGATTGACGACGAGACTGGTCTGAAATGTGACTGGGCAGAAGACCGAGTCCGGGGGGAGTGCAAGCAGTGATTGGTGATTTGGCACGAGATGGTCATGGAAAACCCACACCCAGCAGAGGAGCCGATCAAGAAACAGGAGGGAGGGGGAGCACTCTTTTTTTTCTTCCCGCCCTTTGGCTTTCCCCGTCTCGTCTCCTCTCCGCACCTTCTCTCTCGCAAATACCAAAGTAGAGTGTGAGGAGAAGAGGGTAACGAAGGTACGTATCTTGCGAGGTATGTAGAGGTCAGTTGTGTCGTCGTCGTCGTCGTCGTCGTCGTCAGTCGTCGTCGTCCCCCGTCCTCGAGCTATGTGAGTTGATAGGTGACTGCGGCCGTGAAAAGATGGGAGAGGACGCGCCCTGTGATGGTGGGTGTGAAAGAAGGCTGCAGTACCGGGGACGCGGTGTGGATGGGGATACGTACCCCTACCCCTGACACAAAAGCTTGGAGACAGGAAATATGGCCTAAAAGAAGAATAGCGGCGGGTTTAAATCAGTCGCTGGCACCCTCCAGTCTGCCACAGGGCTGCTTGCGTCAGGACCGGGGGGGTGAGGTGAAGATGAGGTTGAGGTTCAGAGCTGGCTTTGCAGGGGCATGTATCTCGTGCCTAAGGTACCTAGTTACTTTCCCTGGAGCCAGAGGTAAGGAACCCTGGCTGAAGCCAAGTATTCCTCAGTACGTACTGTTGGCTTCAAATTCTTTCTGCGGTACGAAGCACCATACGTGACTGCCCCGCCCCCCTCCCCCTACACAGTAAGGTACGTAGGAAGGTGCCCAGGATTAGACAGTAAAACGTAGGAAACACCAAGCGTCTACAAAGGCGGCTGACCGGCAAGTGAAATGGCAGGTGGCAGATGAGGTGGCAGATGAGGTGGCACATGGCAGGTGCTTCGCCCAAGGTCTTTGACTGCAGTGTCTGATGTTCGTACTGGTGCCGGCGCTGGTGCTGGCGACGCTACGCTACGGATACCGGGTACAAGAGATGAATGATGATGATGATGATGATGTTGGAGGTGATGCAAAGTACGCTTCGCAGCTAACCACCCTGGGCACGCATGTCCTCTATGCACTAAGTCGCTAGCTGAGGATCCCTTAGCTTGGCGATGCCGCTTTCTGGATGCCGGAACTAGCCAAAACTGAGGTGGCTTGACTGAATGACTTGAGACCTTGGCTGTGCCTTTGGCGTCGCCTCTTCTTTCAATGCTTCGCGCTTTCTTTGGCAGCAACTTGCTTCTCGTCCTTTCCCCTGCCTCATCTCATCGCCCATGCCTATTGGACGGGCGACGCTCGATTCGACGCTCGATTCAACGCAACGGGTGAATTGATTGAATCAATGAAATAACCAGAAGTCTACTTCCAGGCCGCTCCTTTTCTTATCGAATGACTCTAGATAATTAGCAACAACCTAGAGATTACTGCCGCGTCGCGTGTCAGATTGATATGGCTCACTCACGATTGCTCACCCACGGGCTCGATGAAATCTGTCTGCCGTTGAACTGGCTGGAACGTGCGCCTTCCATGCGTTTATTTGCCCCTTCGTCTTATTAATATTTAGTACGGATACGCCAAAACCTCCTGGGATGCTCGCAGGTGCCGGGAAATTTGCTAATGCCCGTGGAATTCCATGCACGTAATGCTTTTCGTTCGCCAAAGAAGGAATGAGAATTGCCATATAATAAGGTAACGATATTATTCAACCTGGAATTGACGACATGCCGAGCCCAGGGTGTGGCGCATGGAAACCGCAAACTTGAAGAGATGCCGTGACCTGTGTCTCATTAGGTGTCCAGAGCCGTCGTGTTCAGTTCGGATCAAGTCCTGTCTATGAGAATCACACAATGACATTCGGTGTTATCCCCGACTGCCAGCACGACGGCGACTGCCGAAAGGAGTTGATAATGGAATTCCACCTGAAAGCGCGGAAAGCTTCTTTTCTTTGCCCCCAATTTGGTCGCTAGACCTAAAGATCGGGACCTCTTCCCGAGAGCAATTGCAGCTGCCCGATGCCGGATCCGCCGTCTTGACTCACGAGCAGGGGTGTCGCTGGGACATGGCCAAACAAAGAAGGGAGCGATTGCGGGCAAAAAGCCTGGCTACCAGCCATTGTATCGAGTGCACTACACTGTACTCACGGAGCAATCGAGAACGTTTCTACGATCCCGTGACTGTGTGGCATGGGATGGGTCCACGGCGACTCGTCCGGGATGCAGCGGCCGGCGTGAATTTTTCTGGTATTTGGATTTCCATTCCTCGATGGAGGAATGATAGTTGAGACCGCCCCTCCCCTTTCCCGACGCCACATCAAATACTCAGAAAAAAGGGGAAAAGAGGAGCGAGATGGGTGGTGCCGGGTGGCCCATTGGAACAGAGGATAGAGAACGCATTCGGGCCTGATCCTGGTCTTTTGCAAGTATGTGAGTGCGCAGTTATTTTTGCCGTGCACCATTTCCTGGCACACGATGAACTTATCAAGTCGGTGGTTGTGTGCAGGCCAGGTCAGCGAGTAAAGCCGCATAGCAGGAGTCGCATAGCGGAATTTTCACCACCGCAGTTGAGAGCGTGGCAGCCAGCGAGCAGGGACCCAACCTCGAGAGCCCTTGTTCCCTGCTCAACCTTTGGGGTTTTTGCGGTCGAGGTTCCCGGTGGATGGGAATCAAACTGTGGCGGCGAAAGGGGGGCGTGTGGCCGATGAAAGGCGTGGCAAGCCATCTGACTGGCCGACATGACATCCGCACGCACTCCCAAGACATGTTGTCCGCCGTACGGCACAGCCAGTCTCCAGAACACGACGACATGCCGAACTGGATGCTGCACGACCTGCTCTCCTGCACCTCCGGATGCGTGACACTCACTCTAGACGGCAAATTCCCAGACTTGGACATGGTATTGGCCTTGATTTTGAGCAAGGCCCAAACCGCGCAAAGCCATTGCTATCTGAAGCATACCTGGGCGCTCGACAAGTACATCCTCTCGTATCTTGTCATCTGGTGCACAGCCGCGGGAGAAAGTGGTGTGTATCGAATCGAACGTCTGCGGGAGCTCCAGCAGGTGTTGATCTTGATCATGCGTAGCGCCAGGGAGGCAAGCCGACGGCTGCTGAGCCTGGGTCTTGCATAGGCAACCTGGGGTTTGGAGAGGAAAAAAGAAAAGAAAAAGGCCAGCGGGTAAGGTTCTCGCTACAGAGCTTGGCGAGTGTAGGCACACCGTACGGCACATCATACATGGATGGGGAAGAAGGAGATAGTGCCAGAATAGGAGATTGACAGCCGCGTCGCGCGTCGCGGAACGGGAGCGCGGGCTGAAATGAGCGTGTGGTAGCCTGGTAGGTGCAAGACCGCCCGGATATCTAGATGTATCTTTGATAGGCGTACGCAACTTAGGTAATGTGTGCCTCGGTACCGGGCACATAGCACTCAAGCTGAAAGTCGAGTCTCTGGTCGGAGGAGATCAGGGCAGGTCGAGGCATCAGCAAGCAAGGTCCAGGGCCGAAAGACCCCGGCCGCGGAGCTGAGAGAAGCGGTACCGTGGGTTGAAATTTTTCCTTTCCCCTGGTCGCGGACGTGGTTGTGGTGGCATTGTGGGCTCTGTGGTATGCACGTCCACGGCTAGTTTGGAGTTCCCTGAAAATGGGTTCTGGGAGCAGCCGCTGATGGTCTTTCGTGCCCAGCTCGTGCTGTGGCACCGGGCATTGAGATGTAAACAGCTGGGGGCGAGGGAAACACCGACAAGTGGGACTGGGAGAAGGTGGTCGTCCATGAATATGGAATATGGTCGTGATGATTGATTGGGGGCACTGTGTCTGCGTCAGCTGACAAGCTGCGCAGGTTCTCTCGCATCCACCTCACCTTCAACTGCATCGAGCATTTAGTGCAAAGAAACAGAGAATTGGAAGCCAAGAGAAAGGAAAAAAAAAAAGAGAAGGGCCACCCCAGTAGCATGGAAGCATGTGAGGTGGGAATGTTGGATCTGGTGTGTGTTGCGGCAGGTAAAGCAGGTGGCCCGGCGGCGGCCCAGAGTGGATATCCGCGGAGAGAGGTACATGATAATGTGGGGCGTGTATATGGACATTTGCTCCCACTGCAAGAGACGGAGCTGCAAGGTCTTGTGAGATGCAGAATCGGGAAAAGAGGGTTGTGTGGACTTCAGGTCGGTGCTTGGCTTGGGACTTGGGAACTTGGGGCATGGATGCTGGGGTCTGCGATGTGTGAAGGCAGGAACGCGAGACGGCGGGGTCTATCCTTCTCCTCTGGACCCAAAGTGGATACCAAGAGCCTAGGCCCCAGAGAACAGAGATCTGCGCCATTTTTTTGCGCTAGCCTGATGAATGATGAGGTGGGTGGGAGGAGTCCGTGGCAGGATCCACCTTCTCTCACTTTTTTTTGCCTTCAATTTTCCCCCCAGGCATCGAGCGATGCAAGGTGAAGATTGATGGGCCCCCTGCACCTTGCCTCGTCTTGGCTTCGAGGGCTTGGGAGGGGGCTGATATGCCGACTCTTCCATCTATCACTGGCCACTCAGGTCGAAGCCCTTGTCGATCGTCGAGATGCTCAGTTACGGTTGCATTGGCATCTGCAGAAACACCGCCAGAACCCAGCACCTCCAAAACTGGTTACTGCACATCCGAATCACCAAAATCCAATCGCGAGCGAGACCAGAAGTTGCAGATGTGAGCCCGGATGCGTGGGGTACCTTATTCTTGCATACATGTTGGTACGTTCTGCTGACCGCGGCCCAGGACCAAGGAAGCAAGCAGCATTGCCGTCTGCCGATGCCTTGTGTACTGTCGGATCCGTCATCGCGAACACCGGGGCCGTCTCGGCACGGCAGGCGAGGAATGACAATTGCCATTGGGACTCGACTGTATCGGGTAAGGAGCAGCCGGTTGTCTGGACGCGTCCCCGACTCCCCGTGTCTTGTCCGTGTCCTCTTCCGACGGACAAAGAAAGCAAAGACCTCTTTCCATGGTGCCGACCAAGGGGGAGACATCAGAGAGGGACTTGCCGTGTGGTGCCCGCGATCTAGACTCCGCGAGTGTGGGACCCTGACTCGAGCGGAGTTGAGGGAATGCCTGCGCTGGAGTCGATCCAAGTGGACGAAAACAGCATAGACGCCTTCGGGGACTTCTGAGCCCGGCGCCTTGAACACAACACTAGCCCCGGCGCCTGTGACGGGGCTCTGCCAAAATATTCTCCGCCCGCGACAGAGATTGTGCGACGAGTTATAAATGGGTGCATTGGGTGGGCTGTTGATTATGGCCCATGATCTGTGGTCTGTGGGCAGTGAGTGAGCAAGTGAGAATGTGAAAACCGACATTCCATCCCTTCTCTTTGCCTGGGTACACAAGGTATTTCACCGTCCGTCACCACAAAGTTTCCTCGCCCGGTCTACGCCTACTCTTCCGAGTATGCTCCGGCTCTGCGCGGCGGGCTCACCTATGCTGCGTGATCCTGCGCGTTTCTCACGAGGGCAATGTTAAGCCGCAATATTCTGTATCGCAAGATGATGAAGCTCTCGGGATTTGTCTAGTCATTGAGGATCTTGCTGGCGTCTCGGTCGCGTCGCAAAGGTCATTTTGGCGCGCCGGTCCAGGGCCTGGGATCACACGGTGGTCCAAACCCTCTGGCCTGGCGGCCACCCCAAATCTACAATATTTAGGGGTTCGGCGATTTCCTACGCAGTACACTTGTTCCGTCAATTGGAGTGGAGCCCGAAAAGTCGTTTAGTGAGCTGCGACTATGCTACGAATACGGGGCTGTCACAAGAATGGCTGCTGATGGGACGAAGGCCCAGCTGATTTTCCTGGTTTCCTCGCCTCTAAACCCATTAGAAATCGAGGGGGCATATCAGACGTTTCCAACGTCTTGGTGGACGACTAGGTGGACGGCTAGTTGAAGACGAGGGGCTCGGACTGTAGCAGAAGAAGCCACCGCCGGATTTGCCATGTAGAAACATCGTCGATCAACGGCCGTTGTGGGAGCCAACCCCTGAAGAGTGCGCCACCAAGAAACGGGGATGGATGCGACCCGAAAGATTCCATCTATCGCGCGATATTAACAGTCTCGCCTTGACTCTCACTCGGAAGACGAGTTTCCATGCGATGATATGGGTTGTAAATCCTGTTGCCGAGACGGCACGTGTCTCCTCAGTCCTGACAAAAAAGTGTCCGATGTTGAGCTTGTCCCTGTCACCCACCAGTGGTTCGGGGGCTAATCTTAGCGTTTTCCCCGCAAGTTCGACTTGTCAAACGAATCCCCAAGCTATGGCCTAAAGGTGCGCTGGCGCTGGCGCTGGCGCAGACACGAACGCTGAGGCTGGCTCATCCTGTCTCGAGTTTCCCATCCACAAGGGGCGAGCGAGACGCGGCGCAACGCGGAAGAGGAAGCAAGAAATGTTTTGGCGTAGACACAGTTGAGATGGCGGCAGCTTAGAAGGGGACGGACGGACATTGGTATACTGATGAACTCAATCTACCTCTGAGTGCGGGCAAGGAAGCTCATATCATCTCTTGGATCTCGGAGCATCGATCTCGGCAAGTATGGTTCTTGACACCAGGGGCGGAATTCCGATCGATGTGCCGAAATCCGTCAACGAGCCGTCACTCGCGTCGCGACGGAGCTCGATCATCGATGGGGCTTCTGTGCATCATCTCGGCAGAGATAGAGAGCATCCGTACTTGGTACCGCGTCTTGATAGTGATACGGTGTCAAGAGTCGTTGCGACGAGGTCCTTGGGAGGCCGGAGATTCGATCTTGGACACCCTGTTGGCTTCCATTTCGTTGAGGGTGGGTTTCCTGGAGAGCAGAGGGTCAGAATTCGCTTGGGGAGAGTAGCCTTGGGGATGAGGGATGGTCGGTGCTAACTGGAAAGGCACCTAGCGGCATCCGCTGCTTCGATATTGGAAATGGGATTTTCCCTTCGCTTGTGTCCCCCTGTCATCGGGCACCTCGAGAGTCGACGCCGCGAGGGACGACGGACGGACGGGCCACCCCTCCAAGTCGACTTTGTCGCAGCTGAGATCTGCCGGGGGCGGATTTACCAGGAGTGCCGAGCCAAACTCGAGACTGGGGGTCAGATGCCAGGCAAGCCAGGCTTCCAACGCGACCTCATTCGAGGTTTCCGTGCTGCTTTGGTGAGATCGAGCTCAGGCAAGGAAGTTAAGGGAAGGGGGGTAGATGAGAAGGGGTGGCCCAGCCCTCCAGGCAACCTTCGTTGGGTTCCTCCTGGCAAGCAGCTGCAGCATCCAGTTTGCCCTGCATCCCATCCCCTCTCCTTTTCCCCTCCACCCTTTACCCACCTCCCCCTCCGCCATGTCACTCACCACAGTGCTGCTCCCCCCGCCCTGTTTATACATAAGGCCAGTGGCCCACTCATTCCCTTCTCCTTGCTTCACAGAATTTCCAGAGGGCTGGAGCACCGGGAGACCCCTGGAGAGCTCACAGGCGATTACTGTGTAGATGGCAGGGGAGGTGAGGGCTTGTTCTTTTTCCCTCCTGGCCATCCCTCGCTTAATTGTGACAGCCTGCGACCCTGTCTTACTTCTGACTGGGGCGGCGATGACTACCTTACCTTGTGTGCTTGCCACCCGCATCCTCCAAGCTAATTTGCACCGCGCGGTAGTGGATACACTGTACCAAAGATGCCTCCCAAAAGACGCATGCGGAGTCGAGAATCGGAGGGGGCGGACACGGGGCAGTAGCAGTGGCACGTATGAATCACACATGCCTCGGTGAAGTGGAAGCAAAAGTGCGGTGTCCTTATGTCGAGGTGGGCCTTTGAACATGGAAGCATCCTGTGGAAATTGGCTGGAAGCGACTTCTGTCGATTAACAGCGGCGATGGCGACGGCGACGGTAACGGTGGACGGAGGACCGTGGCACGGCCTCGACCGGAAGTGGCCGCTTGGATGCGGTCGCGCCTGACCACAGCTTTTCGGTGAGTTCGCTCTACCTAAATCAAGGTGCACTTCCACGGGCATGTAGCCGTCCGCGTCTGATTGGCCGAGGTATTCGTCTTGTAGCTGAGGCAGAAGTGGCAGCCTGGCAGGCGCCTCAACTCGGCACGTTCCTGCCAACTGCACACAACACCAGGTACCTTACCTTACCGATATACTGTGTACGTACCTTCCGATACGGAAAGAAACTTACATACATCTGCAATATTAGATTGCCCGATCGCCGCAGACACTGTTCACACTTTAGACTGTCAGTTTGTGCAATAGCGGAGAAGGAGTGCTTCCAGTCGTCGGGTCTTCACGATTCCTTCTATTCTTCTTCGCCTTCCACCGGTGGCGGGACCTCGGGGAAATCCCGCAGTGACATTTGCATGTTGCGTGCCCGCCGCGCCCGCTTCGCCCCTCGCCCAATGGAATATCCATCCTCCGCGAGCCCTTCTCCTTGCAAATCAACAACTTAACCGCCACCTACCATCGCAATGCCTGTGCCCTGCCCGTCTCCAACGCTCCTTGTCTCTGGGTCACCGTCTGCGTGCCTGGCCTTCGACTTCGAACCCCCCCCGCCCCCCTGGTCGCTCGGGTTCTCACTTCTCTCACCGCTCACTTCACGGCCGAGTCGGTCGGTATCCGATACGAATTTGACGGGCCCTGGTCCTGCACCCAATCGAATGCATCACAAATTCATCACAACACAATTGCCGCCGTTATCGCCGACGTCGCCGTTGGCTGCCGTTGTCGCCAGGCTCACCAATAAGGCAAGCTTCTTCTCTATTGATGGCCTGCGCACTGCCTTCAGTGCTCACAGACCGACTGTCCAATGCTTCGGCATGTCGAGACAGCCTACCTAGCCTTAATACCAATGTGGCCAGTGACTTCTTTACATGGGCCGGCGCCAGCGCCAGGCCAGGAACTGACACCAACGTGCTTGTTGGGGCTACAGCGTGCTCGAAGAGCTCAGGTCCCCCAATCCCCAATCTACCTACAGCTTTTCGAGAACGAACTAGGCAAATCCCGACACCCTGGTTTGGGGGTTCACCAAGAAACGCAGCCCGCTGCTAGAGTGATCTGTCGCGAAGGTTAGGGCGTCGACAGATCTCAAGCGACCCAAACCGCTGGGATTCGACTAAGCAAGCGTTAATACCCCGGAGGGGCACAGTGTCTGCTTCTTCTCCAAACTTGTTGGTCGCCTACGCGAAGGAACGGGAACCAGACCAAACCAGACCAGACCAACACCCGTTTCCTCTCGCCCTTGACCTCGTACCTACATACATGTCCCTAGTGTACACACAAACCCATACTCCGTACGGATACTCAACGCCAATCCATTCTTGGGACGACTACCAAACATGCTAGCGGCGATGTATGCATGCTTATACGTTTGTTCCAACGACAAGCCGCCCGCTGGTCACTATCACTACGCCGCCCGTTAGTCACCACCACCGGGAAGAGACTCCCTAACCTAGTGGACATCAGGAGGACAGCCGCCCCGATTCGAATCCAGCATGCAACACGGCAACATTTTGCATTTAGGCGCGCGACTCGGGCCGCGCACCTGTACGCAAATGCAACTGTCACGGAATCCAACCAGCTGCAACCAGCCAAAGCAGCACACCACCGCGCAAACCGAATAGCCGTTCCTATCACCACCTCATACATTTCGCCCAACCAGCAAGCTCGACAGCAGCAAGCGCCCATCAGCCCACAGCCACACTATCTCCCCTGACCCGTCCAAGCCATTTATCCTCGGATAGTCACCGTCATGAACCCACAGTGTCGCCATCATTCTTTGCATCATATTAATTCGAGCGTTTCCTCAAAGCTTCATCTTGACGACCTACCGCAATCTCGCCGATATTTTGCCCAACAAAGCCCTGTAAGCGACATCAATTTGATTCCGTCCCTTTGCACTCCACGCCAGGTTCAAACCGGCCCATAGTTCAACTCTCGTCCAAAAGAGGCACTGCTCCATTTTCGGCGTCTTATTAGCGCTATTGGACGAAAGAGATAGCAGGCAGAGTCCGCTCACATCCAAATATGCACAGTATGGCCACGCAGAGAGTAAGGATGATACCAAGCGACATTTCGACAGGATAGGCCCGTTTTGGGTCGCGGATCCCAGAGGAACACGAGAAGCCGGAACGAGGTCGCGCGGATACCTCGGGACGACAAGCAGCAGGACAAGGTCATCAGACCCAAAGTTTCTGACCGCATTATCCATGCCGTGATTCCATTGCCTGAAGCATGCAGTACCTCAGCAACAACAGCCACTCGCTGGTCTATTCTGCTCCTCCTCCCTTGGCTGCCATCCATGTCGGTCGCTGCTGGTTGGCCATCTCACTGCCGCTCTTCGTCGTCGTCGAATC